CTCCCTCCCTCCCACACCGATTTCGCACGTGCTGTTTCCACCAGCCCAAGTTCTTCTGGCAAACCAACCGCAAAGCTCCAGCATGGGAGGATGAATCCAGCTTCTCCCTAAACTTCCCCCTCCTCTTCCTCCATCCATTCCCAAGCCTTTCCAGGATTCGCGTCTCTGTTGGTTTTAACCCCTTCTATGGCCAACAAGCATTCGTTTTCTCTCTCCCCCTCCCTCCTCGCTCTCTCACGAGGCTTTGCCCCTCGGTCACGCCTTAGTTTTCGCCGGTGCATCTTGTCAGTTTCACATCATTTGCATCGGAGCCAGGTTTGCAGCTATTCGCCCCGCATCTGAGAGATCCTCAAATTAGCGGATTTTCCTATTGCCTCGAAGGGAATGTTGCCCTCCCACCTTCCCTCCTCCACCTTTTCTCCGCCCTTTCTCCCCTTTCTCCACGCCCAGAGGCCAACCCTCCCTTTAAAAAAAAAAACAATGGCGTCGTTATATCGTTCTTTCAGGACTATGAAAGGGACGTGGACCACGCCGCACAGCACAGCACTTGAATGGCGTGTGTATGTGGGGTGGTTTACCGGCAATTGGTTTTTAGGGTTTTTGAGGGTGCTTTTGTAAGCCAGGCGTGGGTGGCTGGAACAACCGTGTAGGGGTTTTTTTTGTGAGTTACTTCCGTTTACAGTTCTGAGCATGGCATTTCATTGCAGCAGTTCTCCTCCATCCCCCATCACATTCTCTCCAGCCAAAGCTGCGATTGGCCTCTTCATCAGGGATTTTGGGGGAGAAACTGGGGAAGGAGGAAGACAGTGTGAGATCTACACTAAAAATTATGCTTAGATGCTTAGATGGGGACGGCTACATTAGCCGCTGCGCAAGGGAGCGATGGTCATTACTATAAATAGTATCGTTATATCGTTCTTTCGAACGGAGAACCTGCGGCGAGGGGGGAGGAAAGGAATTCAAATGGCGGAAATCATTCAAGGGCCGAACATAAAGCATTAATTCAGGAATCCATTTTGTTTTCGGTACCGTGCTAAACAAAGGACATGACTTTACTGCGTAGGGGGGCGTCATCAAGGCAAGAGTAGTGCTTCTCGGCCAATCAATGCGTGCCTGGACACACTGCTGACCAATCGTTTTAAAGGGTCAGTGGCGGGAAACATTGCATTGGGGGGGGGAGAAGGACCTCCGGCACCATTTTCCTTAAGTACTTCAACTGGACAGTGGCGTGGGAGCGTCCTTGCATTGTTCAGCAATGATAGGCAGCCGCAAGACCGGAGTGAGAGGCGTTTCTTGGCGCGAAAAGGAAAACATACTCGCTACAGTTACTGAGGATCGTTTTGACGAAGAACTAGTGACTATAAACCACGATGATCTTAGAACATCGACACTGCCTACGTTTGGTGAGTGCTTAGCCGTTACCTAGGGTGGGTCGGGGAAGTGGTGGCTGTCCTTCAAGTTTACATTGCTTTTTATTCCTTAAACAGCGATACCTTCCAGCTCCAGAGACAGCTGTGCAGAGACCTATGATTCTCAGGACACAAGAACCGAAGATTTCTCACAGCGTGCTTCCACAGGAAGGGGTGAGTGAATCATTTACTGCTGGGTGGAGGAGGACATGGGCTGCCATCACAACCGTACAAGTCCGTGCTGATCAGGGGGTGGGAACCCAAAGTCCTGGAGGGAAGGACTCTAGCCCCAGCCTAGAACCTCCTCCCCTACACTGGACCCCGGTAAGAAGAAAGGAAAACCGGTTTTGGGGGGGGGGCCCCTCCGCTTCACTCCCCACATCAAGCCGCCTCCCGCAAGCGTTAGGGTACAGGGGTGGATTCCTGCCCCCTTTATCCACAACCAGTACCCCAAAACCTTTTAAATTTTTTTATAATGCTGTCGTTACATCGACCTTTCGGGGCTATGAAAGGGAAGCGGACCGCTCAGCATTTGAATGATGTTGGGGGTGGTGGTTTCCCAATATTTTTTTAAAAAAATTGGCGGTTATGGAAGCCGGAAAATGCGGTGGATCAAGTGGGAAGGTAACAGTGTTCCGTGTGCATTGGTGTCCAGTCATGCGGGCCGCATGACCACGGAAACGTCTTCAGGCAGCGGTGGCTGTTCGGCTTTGAAAATGAGATGAGCTCCGCAACCCTAGAGTTGGATTCGCCTGGCTTTCCAGCAAGGGATACCTTTCCTTTACCTATGGAATCCAGGCGGGGGGAGGCTCTTAGGAACAGGATGTTGGGGGGGGGGGTTTCCCTATTTTTGTTTATTTTAAATTGGCGGTTATGGCATCCGGTAAATGGGGTGGCTCAAGTGGGAAGGTAACAGCGTTCCGTGTGCATTGGTGTTTAGTCATGCTGGTCGCATGACCACGGAAACGTCTTCGGGCAGCGGTGGCTCTTCGGCTTTGAAAATGAGATGAGCACCGCAACCCTAGAATCGGATTTGCCTGGCTTTCCAGCAAGGGAAACCTTTCCTTTACTTATGGAATCCTGGCGGGGGGAGGCTGACAGGAACAGTTGTGTGGTGTGTGGTCAATTCAGAAAGGGGTTCAGCGGATTTGTTTGGTAGCTAAACCCTCCTTTGTCCTCATGCGGCTAACGAGCAAGGGAAAGGGGGCTCGTTAAGTATCCGCCTAGTTCTGCGGGGCGGGCGGGGGTGGTTTCCCTGCATGATTCTTTAATGGTGAATCAGGAAGGGGGGGGAGCCACAGGCGTGGGTGATTTGCTGACCGGGAGACAGCACGGTGGGAGGATAAATGTGTTTGGGTTTTTTTTTTGACCACTGGCGTTAAGGTAGTCAGCATGTCATCATCATCATCATTATTTATTACGGTCAAAGACCCATCAAACAGCATACAGGATCAAAAAAGCAAACCCAGGTTACCAAAACATTACAGAGAGGAGACATCATAAAGAGTATTAAGGAGGAGCTTGCGCTTTGCAAATGCAATAAAAAGAAATTTAGCAACATTTCTTGATATTGCAATGGATTTGTCCTCCAATAAATATTTCAGCACAAGTTCCTCAGAATGAATTGCTAGTTGTCCTTGGACCCTAAGTGACCTTAATATAGGTGTAATTAAGAGGGCTCTTTCTTCTGCATAATAAGAGCAATAAAATAAAATATGGGGGAGGGTCTCTATTGACTCAGAGGAGCATGAACAAAGTCTCAAATGCCTTGGGATACGTTGAAATCTTCCAGAAAGAACTGCCGATGGAAAAGCATCAAATCTGGCTCTGGAGAAAGCCCATCTATGATTTGGGTTGGAGATATTAGCTAAATATTGAGGAGTGGTCATATAAATTTCGGGTTTCAGAGATTTATAGAGCGGCGGAGTTGCGGCGTGAGTCGTTTGCAGCTCAATATCTCTGAGACGTTGAGTGTCAGCATGTCATTTCAAGGTAGTCCAAGAGCGGGAGTGAGAGCTTTCTAGCGGCGTCTGAAAGGAAAGAAGAACGCTGGTTAGGTTCGGAAGCCTCTACCCGTGGCCCACGTAAGGAAACGATTGAGCAGTTTTGTCTTTAGCAAGGCTCCTTTAGGTTACAGTGATCCCACGCTCAGCCCTCTATGTACTTTCTGTGGTTTAGATATGAATATCAAACGCCCCCTAGGAAGTATTTTCATTCCCCAACCCCCCTTGCGATGAGAGGACACAACTTTTCGTGTAAAAATAAAGCAGCTTGCCTCGTTTGCATACCATCCCGTCATGCAAACGTGGCTTAAGGGCAACGCTGACCGATAATATCACCATTACCAACTTGCATGCTATAGACCCAGGCGATGCTTGGATGTTTGCTCTTTAAATGTGTGTTATGTGAATGTAACCGAAGCCATCTCTGCGACCTTGGCCACAGCCTGCTCAACTAGTGAGCCTTGCAGGAGAGACCGTGGCCACAGCTGGAGGAAGCAGGGTAAATTTTACTGGAGACACGAGCTCCCCAGAGCTATGCTTGTCGCCTTACCTGTATTACCTATCATAAATTTGCTCAGGCGGGCATACAGACATACACCCCAACTACCATACACCCCAACTTCCACAACTGCCATCCTACATATGGCCTGTAGTTGCGAACACCCCCAAGCCCTGGTTTCTAAATGTCATGGGTGAAAGTAGCAGAATGTACTGATCTGGGCGAAGGACTGATTTTGCTGTCTCTACGGGTCCAGTCATTCATTAATTTCATGCCACAGGTCCCACTTTTACTTTGAAAGTATGTTATACTACCACTGGTAAAGGTGCTAAATTTGATGTTATCAATGTTGTCTCCTAACCAACTTAGGGAACTCGGGATTGAGTGTTGCAAGTGATGGTGACATTGAAGATCACATAGATGGATGTGAGCAGGAAGAGATGTCTTCGCATAACACAGGTGTGTGTTTAGCTGTCAATTAGTTTATAAGTTCAGCTCATCAGGGCTGGCGGGTTGATTGGATTGTTGTCCAATTTGTGGATGCGTTCAATTTGGTGGTCTACTTCCTCACTGTATAACACTGCCTTAACAAAGTTCTGCCACATTATGTCCACATATATATTATACTTCCAATATATACTACAGTCCTTTAAAAAGAAGTCATTCGGACACATTATCACACCTTATTAACCCACCCAGATGTTGGGTGTGTTATGTTTTCAACTACATATTATAAACTGTATTCTGACATAATGCTGCCACTAATTGGATAACATGTGTTCTCTGTCTTTTTCGGCAACATAACTCTTACAGATGGAGTCACTGAACATGACAGGTCTTCAGGCAGTGAACAGGCACGCAAGGAGGAAAAGCGTGCGAATGAGGCACAACGTGTACGGCGCGTGGCTCTGCTTAATGACGTGGCGATGAAGATGCTTGAGCAGGGCACCGCCGAACACAAGGAAATCATGAAGTTTCTTGGTGACTGGGAGGAACGCAAATTCGAGTCAATGAAACATGAGAGCCAACTCGATAGGCATTTGCTCCAGGAGACAATGCAGCGTAATGCTGATGTCTTAGCGATGGCGGTCGACAGCATAAGACATCTAACAGAGGTGATATCAGGTACGCAGTCAATCGCTGGGACAAAAGCTAATCCCTGTACATGTTCCCCAACTACTGGCCCCAGGACAACCTCACCCAAGGGCTGGTGTGCCGCAAAGCAAATGAGGGACAACAGTGATTCCGAGCCTGTTCCTGAGGTGCTTGTGCAGGACACACCGGAGGAGAGTCAGAGCATACTCTTCAACAAACCCAAGAGTGCTGAGAGCAGTGGCACAGGTGGGCGGGGGGAAAAAAGGGCATGTGTAGGCAGGGAGCGTGTATTTTTTGAGCCGTGACAGATTGCGGTGATGACCTGTTCAATACTGAACTACCCCCGCTTTGGTATAGGGCTGATACTCATTCCGAAATGTTTACTTTTCAAGTACTGTAACTTTTCAGTTCATCAGTACTGTGCTTTGTTTGGAAATGGTTGTCTGTTATGTGGCTGTGTTATCACAATCTACCTCTATGTTTGACATAGCTAACCGTTGTTAGCTCACTGTTTAAAATGGGTCGCAGTGTGCAATTTTCTGACATTGTTTCATTGACAACTGACAGTTATAAGCGTAAGTATGAAGACAATCTCTTTCTCTCGTGACTGCTGTGTTGTCGAAAGAAACGTGCAAGCATAGCAGTAAACAACTAATGTATTTATTCATGTTGATAATTTCAAAATAAAAAGTCTGTGACACTGTTTTAAGTGAACAGTAACTTTATTTTAACAAATCTGAAAAGTCAACATCTTAGGTACTACCCTCACCCACCCGCCTCTGCTCGTCGCTCTCCCTAAATTCCCTCCACTCCCTTTCCATGCGTTTAATCCGCCTCTCGAATGCGTCCATCCGCCTGGAGAAAGCGGCAACTGCATGCAACCCAAGAAGATTGGATGGTTAGTGCAAAGGGCAAAGGTTGCATGCATTAGTTGAACACAGTACCACACGTCACATCCATGCTCATTTACTCACATGTTGTCTTGCACAGTGTCTCCAACCGGCTGAATGCCTGTGCAAAGTTTTCTCCCTCAGCACCCGATGGTAGACCTGGTGCTTGGCTGCCTGAGGGCCCTAAAGAGTTGATGTAAGGGAGAAAGGGATATTACTTCGGGGCAGTTAACTCAGTGCACCAACCGCTCCTCACAGAGCATGCTCAAGGTACTTGGCCAACGCATACGGCATCTTCCACAGAAGACAAGCTGAGTAGGCCACATAGTGAACCCATCTATGCAGTGGCCAACAGACACGTTAAGAACTGTAATGTCAGTGGCTCACAAAAGAACACCAGAGTTCAAACTGTCTCACATTTCATATATGGCAAATCAACATATCAACAATCCCAGAACTCTATAGAAACATTTCAGGCAACATGGTTCCCAGTTGTTCAATACCTTGCAACAGAAGAAATCATTCCGAGAAATGAACACCTCAAGGACTTGCTTCACTTCTGACACTGGTGTTGATACCTGCGACAAACTTGTAAACAGACAATCTATTCAGCCATGCACATGATTCGCTGTACAGTTGTTGTATAACGCACATTTGCAATTCTCTCATGTATCTGTTGTTAACCTGTTTTATAAGTAAAAAATAATAAAAAAATTAAATAAAAAAAAAAAACTGTCTCACATACATCCGATTCCCCAAACAATCTACTGCATCACAAAATTACCGGGCTGGACATCTACTTGGGCTGTTGACGTTCCCGGTCGATCCTCCCCAGTTTCCACAGGGCGGCCCAGTGTCACTGTTTGCAGTGGTTGTCCTTGCCCCTCACTCTCTGCGGCATTGTCGTCTGTGGAACAGCATTAGCAGTTAGGTTTACATGCAGTGGGGGTGGCATAACAGCAGGTAATAACTGTCAGATTCATTCTGCAGTACCTGAAGGTGCTGGTGGGCTGATGGCATGCACCACCACCTCCCCCGCTTCCACGCCAACCGGCGGGTCTTGTTGCACCTCACGTGGCTGCCTGTGCCTGGGACGTGCGTCTGCTGCAGTAAAGGAAGTAGTGATACATCTTGAAGGATTCTACTCATTCCCTTGTTGTCATTCACATGGAGATCATTGACATTGCTGACCATTCAGAAAGTTTAACGGCTATGAACGGAAACTTCATGTATCGTGAATACATGCCAAGCATAATCTGAGAACTTAATTCATTTCATTAAAAAGCAGATATGGTGCTGGGTGCGCTGTTCACAGACATAACGCACCCAGATAATGGTGACTTAAGTCTTTCATCTTAAATGCTACTCAAACCAATGCTTAATGTACAATAAACCATCCTCACATGTGTGTTGTCTGTAGACTTGTAAATCACGGCAAGTGTGCGTTAATGCATGAATTAAAACAGTCTGCTTTTGATCATATGAAACATAACTGAAGTCCTCGGTGGGCCAATGTTGGTGAGCTCTACCATGCTTTGTTGAGGAAGGGTTCATCTTCTTTAATGCATGCCATTGTGCATGTGGATGTGTGTGATGACATGTTAGTTCATTAGACCCAGACCTCTCAGGTCACAATTAATGGTAGCCATGTGTTGAGTGTCACCCCAAAGAATTGTGTAGCCTGATTGCCCTTGTCAACAATCTGCTATGTGGGCGGGTGGGTTGTGTGGGTCTAGCTAAAGATTAACTATTATGCAATGTTCACCTTATACAAGGGGGATATTCTGTAAACACCACAATCCTTACCCCAAGGTACCATTGTAAGTTTACTCCACTCTACTATAAACCGCTACATCTAATGAAGCCCTGAGACCAGCCCCCCCCCCCACGCCACTCACTCTCACCAGCATGATGACGATCCTCCCATCTAGGTCGTCCTGCAGCCTCCCAAAGCTGCACCATCTTGTCATGGTAGGCAGTCCGCCCGCTTAGCCGCGGAATGCCCTCCCATGCCTCCAGACTGGCCATGAAGTCGCACCGGAGCCGTTTAAACTTCGATCGGCATTGATTGGCTGTGCGACAGTACCCTCGCCTCGTCATGCATCTGGAGATGGCCTCATAATAAGGCGTATTCTCCAGATGCGTGCTTGCCATGAGTTCGCCAACATGCCCCGAACGGGCAACAAGATCAAGGAGGAGTTCTACTTTCTCGCTTTGCCAATAGCATCAGCATTTAGTAAATGACATTTGTTGCCCTCTGAACTTTGCGTTATAACGAAACATCACTGTAGTGATTGTCTAAAAAAAAAAAACCTTCCCGATTTCTGATCCTATGCAAACGACACCTCCAATAGAATTCCAGCAATCGTTGAAACACCCAATCCGAATTGCTCACCAACTTCTCTGTATGTGTTGGTGTTTGCCAAATACCATATTGCAGCCGCTACACGCTTCATGGGGGTAACTGGCGACCGCATGTTTGTAGTTTTGCGCTCCAGCGCGGGAGTCAAAACCGACACGATTTCCATAAATGTTCCACGGGTCATTCGGAAGTGCATCAACCACTGCTCATCACTCCACACTCCGAGCACGAATGTTTCCCACCAGTCCTTGCTTTTTGGGAAAATCCAATAGCGTTTTTTAAAACGCAATCCGGCAAGCATATGCCACCGATGTCTCCTTCGGCAGGAGGGATGAACGTGCGCGCTAAGCTCACCCTTTGTCATCAAGGCCGTTGAAGAGCAGGGACCGCTGAGAAGGCAATTTCTTCTCCTGGATCGCCTGATAAAAACTGCCAAGCAATTCAGAGTGGAATCCACACACATCAATATCACCTCAAGCAATGAGCAGACAGCAGCGAGGGCTTTCTTCCGACCGTCATCCATCCTGGGGAAATGTCTCAGGGCTGAGATGCTCAAAATGGAGAATCCCCAGAACTTCTTTTAAAACTCCCCGCTCAAAGGACACAGACCACCAATCAGAATGCTGAAGATTTGCCACATGATGCTCCCTTACCACCATTGTTTCGTAATAACGACGTAACGTCACTGAGCATGCGCCAAAAAATATATATATCAGGGGGCGGCGGATACGGCTGTTTTTGGAACCGAGAGGCGAGGGTGGGAGGAGGTGAATTGCAGGAAACCACTCCCAAAGGATTCAATGTGAAATGAATGACTCGAGGCACGAGCGGGGCAGACAGGCTTGAATTCCTTTCATTGTGAAATCGAAAAAAAAAGCTACGGAGCAGGAAACTCCGGAGGAAACCAGGCGCAAGTGCCTCGTGAGAAATCGCCCTAAGATTCAAGTGGGGTAGCTGTGTTGGTCCGAAGCAGCAGAACAAAGTTTGAGTCCAGTGGCACCTTTAAGACCAAGGAAGTTTCCTGTGCATGCACACTTCTTCAGATACATTGAAACAGACTTCATCAGTCATTACATGTAGGTAGAGAGAGGGTGGGGGAGGGTTCATTGCCAGGAACATATAGTTAGAGTCAAGATGCATAAGTCACTGAGTGATAAATATAGCTAAGAATGGATTACAGTTGCCTCCTGGCAACTACCCCCCCCCAATCTCCAGGAATTTCCCAAACTGTAGGTGGCAACCTCAACCCCGGGTATCTCACCCAAGAAAACCTGAATCAAGTTTACACCTTAATATCCAAAGTGAGAGATACAGTAAAGATGGTGCGGAGTTGTTTTCTGTTGCCCCAGAAGGTCGGACCAGAACCAACAGGTTGAAAATAAATCAAAAGGGTTTTCGGCTAAACATTAGGAAGAACTTCCTGACAGTTGGAGCAGTTCCTCAGTGGAACAGGCTTCCTCGGGAGGTGGTGGGCTCTCCTTCTTTGGAGGATTTTAAACGGGCTAGATCACTGCCCCCTATATAGGGGGGCAGTGGCTAGATGGCCATCTGACAGCAATGCGGATTCTGTGAACTAAGGCAGATCATGAGCAGGAGGGCAGGAAGGGTTGCCTCAGTTCTTGTTTCTTGTGGCCCTTTCTTACACGCCCAGGGAAATGCTGATTGCCACACTGGGGTCAGGAAGCAATTTTCCTCAAGGCCAGTTTGGCTGGAGATCCTGGAAGTTTTTTTGTCATCTTCTGGGCATGGAGCAGAGGTCACTGGGGGTGGGAGGTGTTTGTGAATTTCCTGCATTGTGCAGGGGGTTGGACGAGATGACCCTGGAGGTCCCTTCCAACTCTATCATTCTATGATTCTTAATTTTTGTGTGTGTGATAAATAAATATACTATGAGTCTGATCAGACAGCTCTTTAGATCCGCGCGAGGCACGATTGCCTCACGGATCTAAAGGTAATGTCCAGACACAAACATCTGGGAAATGTCCCTCTTCCGTGTGCATCCCGTTTTGCCGCGCTTCGGAGCTGTATTTAAAAGATAGCACTTTAAATCTGGAGTTTTCGGTTACCTGCGGGACAACTGCGGACTTTCACCCGTCTGATCGTTCCACCAGCATGCAATGCTCCCTTCGGGGCGG